CTCCGGAGTCCAAGATTAAACTTGTGCTAGCAAGTTTAATATAGGATAGTAAAAACTATAATAATACTACTTTGGGAGTAATAAATATATAGTAAAATATTTATCTTATAAATATTTCTTTATAATATTTTGTGTATACTTCTAACACTTTAGAAAAAATGACTTTGAACACAAAATAGGATTTTTCTCCTCTCTAAAATGGGATGGCCGAAAAATTATGTTAAAATGGGGAGGGATACTCACACTATATAATACAATGTATTAAGAAAATGTTAGGAAATTGCTTAGGGACAAAAACAAAATGAGATTAGTGTAATGTCCCCAACCAACACAACAAGACAAGTATACTTTTGTTAATCAAATATTTGATTATAAAATCAAATATATCATTAGGTGGAATATCAAAATATGTTTTGTATTTTCCCCCTTAGAATTTCGGCCATATTATATTAAAATACATTACATTTTATTTTTGCATCAATAATTATCATATAATTAAAATGATGAAAATAAAAGTAATATATATATATATATCGGCGCTACATATATATATATATATAATAAAATTTGTTTTGTCAAAATATAATTATCATATAATTAAAATGACACAAACAAAATATAATTTTAAAATACATATGTATTTTCGAAATACATATATACGTATAAAATTATATTATCACAACTATATATTTAATATTACTCTCACTAGTCCAGTATACTACTCCCTTACAAGTCCTAAGTGTGTGACCCTTTAGGTATCCATAACACTGGCAATGATATTAATATAAATTAATACCATAGATAATAAGCGGTATCTAGCAACACATTATTATCCCCAGATTATGAAAAAGACGTTCATCTCATCAATACCTTCTACGACACAAGATGTTCTATAACTATTATCCTTCTGTCCTAAATGTCATGATTTAACACAAGGCATGGGATGTGTATCCTTGTATAGTTAAATCAGCTGTTACTGAATCTCAAGTAGACTGGAAGGGATCAGATATTTATCAGTCTCTAGATAGCGACATATCTGGGCATGGCCATGCACTTTCCCAAGTCCTACTATTCAGTGGGCCCATTGACATTACACTTCTATACAGTAGAAGGGACAGATCCTGTATCTGTTATTCACATCTCTAAATATGCTTAGCGGCATACCCAACGCATAACTGTACGTCTACCAGTATTTCAGATAGCATTAGTTATGAATCAAAGCATACGGCCCCACATATCAGAGAATGTAATAACTTCAAGTCTGAGGATAGTTATAGCAAGGTCGATTTTAGAATACTGATAAACACATTACTGTAGATCCATGCAGTATTCTCAAGATGGGTCAATCCAGTCACATATTATCAATATAATATGCACCTACATACAGATTAAGATATCACAATACCTATAGTCTATGAAACGCAACTATCTCATCTCGTACGTACTAGTCTTGATACGTTATGACGACCGTATTATCATAAAGTGCGACTAGGGATATACTAGACATAGCCTTCGTCAAGAAGTAACAGTCTCATAATCAGAACATCGTAGTCCTCATCTATGTTACTGAAGCGCTATCGTCTATGGACTGAAGCTATGTTATGTTACACGAGATATAAAACATACTTCAAGGCCTTTCATTCATGATAAAGTGTACAGTTACATAGATATTTGATTGCCGCTAGGGCACCTAAATACAACAATCTCCCACTTGCCCTAAGGCCAATCAAACATTTCTCGAATGCCCATGGACCACGTATGACTCTCGTGTTTAGGCTTTCCCAAAGCCTTCGTCAACGGATCCACGATATTGTCGTCTGTACCTATCTTGCAAATCTCAACGTCCCCACGTGCAACGATTTCTCGTATGATGTGATAACGTCTAACGATGTGTTTGGTCTTCTGATGAGACCGAGGTTCTTTCGCGTGTGCAATTGCCCCATTGTTGTCGCAAAACAACGGTATAGGGTTCTTGATGCTAGGAACCACTCCAAGCTCAGTAATAAAATTCTTGAGCCACACACCTTCCTTGGTTGCCTCGGCTGCAGCCATGTACTCTGCTTCTGTAGTGGAATCAGCGGTAGTATCTTGCTTGTAACTCTTCCAGGTAACAGCTCCGCCATTCAAACAAAACACATACCCTGCCTGCGACTTGAAGTC